TGCCCTCGCACCTCGCTGCAATCACCGCCTCGTCGCTCATGCCCCCAAGTCACCACAGAGCCGTTGTCCAGGATGGCAGCAAAAGCGTAAGATGCTGCTCGGATCTGCTGGACCCGCACCTGCTGGCGAACCTGGATGCTACCGCCCCTTCTTGGATGGCCCCAGGCAAGCACTGCGCCTCCTGTGACAAAAAGTGCAAACGCACCTTCGGTGGAAGCTAACTTGAGGGGCTGCACGATAGCATCAAGGTTGGCCCCATCTCGCACGCCTGCCTCACTCAGAGTGGACGACAGATCCAGCAGCTGACCGCCGCAGGCAAGCCTCAGACAGCGCCGCTGGAACCGCTGCTGCGCCTTGGCCTGCAGCTCGCGCACCCTCATTTCAGGCGAAAGTGCGACGGAGCAGTGCCTCCCACTGGGCAAGTGCACATGCACAAGCATGGCGAATACACCAAGCTTGCCGGAACACAAACGTCGGCAGACGTTTGCGCCATAGGAACTCTCGGACCTTATGAAACCAGGGAAACCTGGCCACAAGCGAAACTCCACGCTTGCACCACTCCAACGGACATCACTTCTGTAAAGGAAATAATTGAGTCCGCTTCAACCCCGGCTTCGCATACCCTGTAGCCGCGGTGAGAAACACCGGGACCAATTCCTGAGGAATGTGTAACCTATCCAACAAGCAAAGTTTGGGCAAACATCGATCCTGGTCTTCCAAGCCAAAGTGGACTCGATGGCTGTAGGTCACCATGAGGGTTGTCTTGAAGACAAACTCAAGCGCAATCAGCACATGACACACCATGCACATGTTGAAGAACCGCATCAATCAACTTGCAAGAAAGCGACGAAGCTGTATGCAAGTGTGTATACAAGCGTATGCATGTATGTACGTGTGTCAATATCTATAGATCTATGTACCTATGTATCTAAGTATCTATCTATGTATGTGGTATGTACCTATGTACCTATGTACCTATGTACCTGTGTACCTGTGTACCTGTTTGCTTCTATGTACCTATGTACCTATGCTTCCATGGGTCTATGATATGCATCTATGTGTCTATGCATCATGAATGCATGTATGTATCCATGTCTAATGTATTTGTGTATCAACGTACCCATGTATATTGCATGTAGTTAGGTATTTGAATTGGTCGAAATTGGGGCCCTGAAGAATGGCTGCTGTCCTGTTATTCCTCTTAAATCAAGCCGAAAAGGGTACATGTATGCATACAGTATATGTAGAAAGACACTGCTGGTGCGAGCAAGGCTTGTTCGGCCCGCGTTGTCAACCGCATGTCGGGGATCAAACTAAACGGCTGTGCATTTGAAACCTTTGAATGCTTCTGTCGGAGTCAGAGGCCAAAAAGAACTGCAACCATCTGGACAGACATTCCCCGCCAAGGCTCCATTGGGTACATGGGGAAGAAGACGTTGAAGAGGAAGAGCATCACCTCGCTTCGCAGAGTTGCAGTTTGGTTTGAAAAAGAAGGATTCCACTTATCAGTGCCATCTGTTTTGGACCTCCAGCCTGCGCTCCAGCGCTTTGTTTTACTTCCCGGCAATGTCACAATGCTGGCACCCTGAAAGCCTAACGGAACGGCCAGAAAGTCCATTTCAAAAGGATCGGAGACATGGGCGATTGTTAAAAAGAACTGGGGAACCTTTGGCGAGCATCATGAACATGGGGATTCAAGTCCACAAACCACTTGTGATCTCCAACTTCCTTAGCTATCGTAGGAAACCAATGTGGCCAAGAATGCAAAAATGTCTGACCTGCGCACAAACCAAACAAAGGCAGTGTCTACGGAGCTTGCAGTCGAACTCGCTTTCTGAACCTAAGCCTTGCATGCAGGACCTTGCAAGGCTTGAGGGGATACTGGTTGCCATAGCCAGCTGGTCCTCTTCATGTTTGCCTCAAAAGTGGCGTATATTTTTTCGACGTGCCCCCCTTCAGCGTATTTAAAGAGGCAACCAAGCTGAAAGCCGTCACTCTGAAAGCCCCCTATTTTACACATACCCAAATGGAGATCGTTGCCAACACCTGATTTGCCTCTGGAGCCGAACGCTTCGCAACATGGCCGCCACGCATTCAGCTGGATGGCACGCCCGAGGAAGGAGTATCTCAGCTCAAATCCGTCACTTCGGGAGCATCCTCAAATTGCTGGTGCGATAGGCAGGGAATGAGAAATGGAATGACCCCTTATAAACCATCCCCTATGGTTTCCTTTAAGGGGACCCCTGGGTTCACTCCCACATTCCCTACTTATCGCACCAGCAAGTCAAGACCTGTTTGAAAGAAAGACACAGGCAATGCCCTTGGACCGTGTCATGACGCCGGAAAAAGAAACGAATCGGAACATCGAGCCCGACAGATCTCAAGTGGCAAGAATCATAAGTGGGAGTCTTCAGGCTTGGATGGTCAAGATTCAGCGGGTACTTAGTCTGGTGCAAGGGAAAGACTCTGGTGGACAACAAAGAACCTGAAGGACGCAGGAAGGAGGAGGGTTGTCTTTCTTCCCACAACCCGAAGTCGAAGCGCAGACAAGAAAGGGTGAAGGAAAATCCAAATCACGATTCCCGTCGCCCAGTGAAAAGTCCCACAAATGGGGCTTCCCTCGTGTTGGGAAGCGCTTGAATCAAGCCTTCAGAGTGCTGGCCTTTTCAGGATCAACATGGTGTGCCCGCATGGACAAATCAGTGGTAGTTTTCCTGCTGCATAAACATAGAATTGCTTCACTCACTCGGGCGCCAGGACTGTTGAGTGTTGAGGGCCACATTCGCCACTTTCACGCGCAAGTGCCAGGCACGACGAGCCGCAAAAAGGATCTGAGAACATGAGGATCTCCTTCAAGTGCGATGCTATGAACATCGCAATTCGCTGACCCTCCACCCTGAGCCCACTTCTTGTTCATTCTCAGTTTGCTTTGTTGACGCCCCCAATTTCTTTCTCAAATTGGGAAGGCTTTTTTGGGCCCGAGGTTCGCGGCCAGGCTTCAACCTCAAGTTCGCGCCTTCGGGTTTTGCTTCCCAATGGAAACACCAGGCCTGCACCAGGCGACCTGAAACATTGCAACAGCCAGCCAGGGCCCTGGCACCAAGAAGCCCGTCCAGGTGTGGAAGCACCTTAGGCAGGGAATGAGAAAGAAATCGCAATAAGAACGCACGAGCTGGCCCAACAAAGGTTCGGCAAGGGAATGACTCCCCAAGTGTATCATCCCCTGCCCTGGGGATCCTTAGCTTCCCCACTTAGAACCAGCCAGCGCAGCCACGAAATCCGAGTTGCAGGGATGCAGCATATCCACAACTCCACAAACAATATGCGCACAGCCGAGCATTCGGCAAACACAACATGGTGACAACATAGAAGGATACCCCTTTTATGGTGTTTACAGCAAAACCAAAAAGAACCCCACAATTTTTCTGGCGGGGTCCCGCAGAAGAAGAAAAAAGGACACCCCCATTTGCTTCTTCGCTGCCAGTGAGTTCCCCTTGCGGTCTAGCTGAGATTCATAGAAACAAGGGCCAGGACTCCCCGGGTTTTCGGACGTCATTTTAGGAACCCGATTCTGATGATGTCAAATCGCCGGATCTGATTCTGATTCTGGGGATGTCGCAGGTTCTCAAAAACAGGCCTGGTATGTGCCACCTGCGTCGAAGCCACGGTGGTTGCACACCGTTCCATCATGCAAAACCGTTCCTAGAAGCTCCAAGCACAACCAGCAGCCAGACCAAAACAGGCAAAGCCAAGTCGGCTTGCCGTTGCCACAAATATTGTAGTAAATATCTTGGCCTTAACCCAAATCACTTGGACCACACACACACAGCTGCAGTACAATCACCCACATCTACACAGCACCACCAAATCCAGCGTCCCTTGAAGAAGACACTGAGAGAGTGACCGCTCGATTGAAGCAATTCTGCCAACAACAACATGCCCAACTCGCAATAGGCTTCGCTGACGTCGCCATTGTTCGAGTTGACAACGTCTACACGAGCCGGTTGCTGGAGCCCTCCGCCCATCTCATACCGCGCTCACCTTTTTCCTCATGCCTCATCTCTGATGTGAGCATGAAGACGCTCAAGCTTCTCAGCTGGAACTGCGGATATTCACACACGCTGGGTGGTGGTTTCAATCTGACAAAAGATCTCAAGCCAAAGTTGCTACCTGCCCAGGCCAGACGGAAATATACAGCAAGCAAACGGCAAACGCACCACCCAGGTTTGCTTCTGCGTCAGCTTCCAGTTTTATTCAAAAGCGGCGCCTTGGAAAGCCGAGAAGCTGAAAGGGCCAAGTTCAGAATTCAAATGTTGCCGCACCTTGGCTGCCCAAGGCATGGATAGGAACTGCCCGAACCAGCCGGCATGAGTATCAGTGTACGTGTTCTTGTTGGCATGTTCGGCCCAAAATGCACAAACAAACAGCCAACAAGAAAAATACACTAATAAGTAGGCAAGCCAGCCAGCCAGCAAGCAACCAATAAGCAAGAAGGCAAACAGGCAAGCAAGCCGTTTCCCTGTGGCAGGGTTGCCCTTTCCAAGAAAATGAGAACAATTCCCTTTCCCACCAAGAAAAGTGGTGTCCCTTTGATTTCCCGCGGGGTTCCAATGGATTTGGGCCACAAACAGGTTGAGACACCAAAAGCAAGTTGGGGTGTGGTGTGGGGAAGCGTGGATCCTTTTCCAAGCCCCGGAACCCTTACATCCTTTCTGTGGGGTAAGGATGTAGGAGATGACTAAATTCTGGCATCTTTCGCCTCGCTGCTTGAGTGAACTGGCCCACAAAAACCCTCCAAACTGTTGGTTTGCCACTAAAATGGTCCAACACCCAAACAATGTTTGAAGTCCATGGACTTCATGGACTTTAGTCACTTTTTGGAGGTTGGACCATTATTTTAGTGCCAAACCAACAGTTCGGAGGGTTTTGTGGGCCAGTCCGCTGAGGACGTCACTCACGGCCCTTGGCCAAGCCACCGGCGGGCTGACGGACTCAGGGCCTCAGGGCGCGTCGCAGGCCTCCGCGCCGCAGTCGCAGGGCAGCAGCCGGTCCGGCGCCTGAACCACAAATCCGATCTCCCGACCCCCCCCCGTTTTGTTTCTAGATCGGGATACTAAATATAAGGACTTAGCTCTGGCGTTTTGTTTTCTTTTTTTGTCTTGTTTTGCTGCATGTTGGCTTATAGGTCTGGTTGTTTGTCTTGCTTTGCCGAAAGCTTTGTGTGTTCTCGTTGTTGTTTGTCCTGGTTTGCCTTCACATGTTGGTTTTCCGCACCATCTGTGAACATCTTGAGTATGGGTTTGCCCCAGCTGGGTCCGCTTCGCTTGAGCAACTTGCAAGTGAGAGTTCCGTGTCCTCGGTTCATAGCTTTTCTTGGTGCCTGTTTTCGCGCATTCCTGTTGGCTTGCAGTTTGCAAACTCTTCCACATTGTGAGATAGGCCCTGATGACTAATTTCCTCCCAGCTTCTGCAACCCAACACTCCTCGTGCTAGACTAAGCGGGCTGCTTCCATCCTAAATTCAAGCTGGCAAAAGTATGATTTGCCTTTCTTGCATGCCAAGTGTCCACCGCCAAATTCTGAGGACAAATGCGACTCCTCAAGTAAAAGAATTCCCATCCCCCCCCCCCCCCCCTCCGCTTATCTGACAAGAAACCTCACCAGTGCCAGGGTGATCAGGAGAGCTATATGACAGGCTCACAAATGAGACTTCAAAGGGTCGCCCATCCTACCTCAAATGCCCAGTGGCCATGGGAAAAAAAAACGGGACCCCTCCCCCCCCCCAAAAAAAAAGGGGCACCACTGGGCAACAGAGCCACCTTGGGGGCGTACCTCGACTGCGCGGCGTTCGATCTCGCCTTGCTGGCGCGAACGCGCATCTCCCCGCAGCTGCAGCGTGGCGTCGCCGCGCGGGCTGCAGGGACAGCTGCGTCCGGTTGGTTCAAGAGGGGGCCCTTGTTGGTTGGCTGGAATTAGGACCCCAGCAAAACCTATATTGTTTGCCTGGTTAGTGGAAAACAAAGGGGACCCCAAACAAGCAAAACAAATAAAGAGGGGAACTAATTCTGGGAAGATTGGTTGGTCGATTGGCTGATTGGCGTTGATTCCATTTTTCAATGGTTCGGAAACCAACAACTGCGTTATAAACGCACAGAGCCTCGAGATTGTCTGGGAGAGTTGTGTGTGGTATTTGACTTGCAAAAACAGCTCTGCAACCCCCTGAGCCACAGCGTTCTAGAACAGCGCACTGTAAAAAACACCCTGCGCAACCCTCAAAAAATCTGCCGAAACTCCAAATCCCACTCTAACCCAGCAACCTCCCACAAGCCCCTGCACACAACGCCCCGAGCAACTCAATGTCACAGCTTCCAGCAAAAGACAGAAACGACACCCTGCAACAGCCTACATTCATCCTCCAGAATCAATCTACCCCGGCACCTTCCAGGTTGGCCTTCTCATGTACACCATACTCTGGAGATTAATTAGTACAAAACTGAAAACAACACCTCCTAGAGGAAACTCCTCAGGGGAGGCCTCTCTTTGGGGTTCCATGTAAATGGTTCCAGCTGGTTTCCTTTTGGATTCCTGTTAAGCCATCCCAAAAAGGAGTCCCAAATTTGATTGTCACATTGTTCTGCCGAGTACCCGTCCCAACACGGCCTTCCTTCTTCTCCTTCTCCACCTTCTCCGGTTTGGGCTCCTTTGGCACCCAATTTTCCTCCCCAGGAGCGCACAAGCAGCCCGTGCTGGAGTGGTACGGATCTTTGCCTCAGACATGGCCGGGAAGATGCTCTAGTGGATTTGTAAAGACATGCAATCCATGTTCCCCCATTCCCGATAAACAAAAAAAGTCATGCTGACCCGGATGCAACGGCTTGCTGAACAGGTGGCGTCCAATTACAGCACAAAACATGGGCTTCCTTCACTTTCAGTGATGAATCCGCAGAGTGCACCCAAGGCTTGAATCGATTCTTTCACGACGTCCAGTCTTGTATCATACCAAAAGTATCCCGCCCTTGTACCGAGCAGCCGCAGCCGGTGCAGATCAGCTCCTCTTCACCCAGCATGGCTCCGACGGGCCGACGGGTCGACGGGTCGGGGGCGGGTGGCTCGACCCTGAGACGGGCTGCGGGAAGCGCTCGAGGTTGTCGGCACATGGCGCCCGGCTGCATGGATTGGTTCAGCGAACCAAGTCGCCAACGCAGACACATGGATCGAGGTGATACATCAGAAGAGGTCACGGTTCGAATGCGTGAGGCAAGCCTCTTTCAAGGTAGTCCTCCAATGAATCCATATTCATCTGCTCGAACCGAAAAATGGACCACCCCATCTGCCAGTTGCCTTTCCGGGCGCCCGGGCCCTGGCCAGTTGGCATCCAGGCAAGGGCTGGGCACTGCGCCGAAGGGAACTGGCCGCCGGCCCGGCGGATTCGCCCGGGCTTGTCTTAGACTCGCCTGCCCCAAGGACCCAGAAATAGTTCGGTTCACCTTCAGGGGCCTTGCCCGAAATATGGGCCAAAGATGGGAAGGCAAAAGGTTGGTTCAGGTCGATTCGCGGTGGGCAACTCAGTATGTGGAACCCACAAACGTAACTATTTACTGGGGGGGGCTATAGGTATTGTCTGGGCACCATGTGCGCCCAAACATGGGGGGTCTGCAACTACAAAAAAATGCAGCAAAAGAAGGTGCGCACCTTTGAACAATTCAAGTCCGGTGGAGCTCCTTGCTGCTGGAAAACGGTTGGATCCGCCAGTGTTCGGGTTGAAGCGACTCGGCGAGTCTCTTCCCGTAGGCTCGGAAGTCTTCCCAGTGCCGCAAGCCATCGTGGACGGAAGAGCGTTGTATACAGCCTTTACCAGCCACGACAACGCGGTAAAGAACGCCATTGAACTTCAATTCCCGAATATGTGTTGCATTTACAGCGAATCGCGTGGTACAAAAAGGAAACCTCGGTTTTGCAACATGCGACCCACTGCCTTGGCCTTCCCGTCTGGGCAAACGTTCAAGCCGGTGCATGGCGATAGGTTCTATTCAAGCGCGGAACCCAACAACCTCAAGTTGAGGATCCAAAGGATCCCAAAGAAAGTGGCAATCATGTAAACTCTCGGCGAGTTTGCAATGTTCTGCAAGCTGCAAAACTAGCTCCGTTCTGCCAGGATACTGTAACACCGTCCATGCTCTGCAAGGTTTGCCTGAGTCTCCAAAAGCCGGAATCCAAAAGTGAAATCACAAGCCTGAGCACTACAATTGAACAGGACCCCAAACCCTAAGCAGTAAACCAACAGTAACATGAGCCTTTCATATCCCGACAAGAATATAAAATAACACCTTCGGAGCTTCAGCATTGGGTCACGGAGTGCTTGACTTGCTTCCTTCAAAGAGGAGAAGGGAACAATTCCCATTTACAGATCTTGGTCCCCCCTTTGTGGCGATTGTTCAGAGAGAGACATAGAGGAAGGAAGAAAGAAAAAAAGAAAGAAAGAAAGAAAGAAAGAAAGAAAGAAAGAGAGAAAGAGAGAGAGAGAGAGAGGAGAGGCAGACCGACAGACAAACACTAGCTTCTGATGCTTCCTATCTCTCCACTGCCCGATTCCTCCCCGATGTGAGTTGCTCCCGTCCTAGGTACTTCCAGGCGGGCGGCATCTGCACATGGCTCATCGCCGCCGCGAAGGCGGCCTCCGAGCCAGTTTCGGGGGGGGGACGGGGGGGGGGGGCGTTCGCGGTGCCCTGGTTGAGCCAAAGCACATGGGTGGGTAACGGGTTGGTAACCCCAACATGGTAACCCCAACATGGGTCAAAAATAGTTAGTAACCCCAAATATAGGTTGTCCGTTCAAATTTGATGGAAACAAGGACGAGAACCGGCGGCTTCCATATTATCCTGGTGGCTAAAATTTTGACCCATACCCACATGGTTCCCCTTTTTGTTGGGTTATCCCGATATCCGTAGGGGGTTGTTGTGGATAAGGGAAAAACAAAGAGAGACACTTCCCACCAGTGGGTCTGCTTTTTCCCCAGATTTGCAGGGGTTTATCCATCCTAGGTGGTGCGGGACTTTGTCCATCTACAGTATTACCAAAAACTCAGAGGGGTCTACCCGAAACTGACACCCTGGAACAACAAAGGTCCGTCGCTCATAGGATTTTGCTAACGAGTTTCCGATACCCGGTGTGGTCGGTTGGCTGGTGTCATTTTCCAGCTACTGGCCAAAAAAAATAGGATCCCTCCGTGTGCTTAGGAAGAAATTTGTGGTGAGAAAGACAAACTTGGATTTGTTCCCAGACCAAAGATCCATGGGCAAAACGTGCTTTTGCCCATGGTTGGGCTTTATTTTTTACCTAGCTCTGTATTGCAAGGCAGCTGTCACAAAACAGGGATCTCCGTAAAGCGAGATGGATGTCTCAAGCGAAACCTGTTGGAAACTATCTATGAGCTTTTTGGTACTTTGCCTGACATATGTCCCAAACCTCAAGCTTCCCTGATTGCCTTCGAAAGCCAAAGGGGGTGTTGTTGGCCGCTCCTGGTCACCAGTGCTGAGACATGCCTATTTGACCGCGAGCGAATGCCAATCGCTTGAAACGTGGTGAACTACGGGAAACCATTTTGGTATTGGTATTTACAGAGGAATCATGATTCGTGGGTGTCTCAGGTGCAGGACTTTGTCCAGCGTGCCAGTAGCGGGGGAAAAAGTCACTTGCAGTCCAATGAGTCTTGCCACAACTTGTGTGGCCCCTCCCCCAACTGGGCACAGCACAACTCGTCGATAGCTGAAAAGGGGAAATCAAGGAGAAAAGGCCAAGCTGGAAATCTAACCCAGTGCTTCCAGTTGCCACTATACTAGTTCCATGATACTAAAACCCAGAGGAAGTCACACCTGGCCCACTATAGTGGAACTAGGCGGGGTGGGTCTAGTGGGGATTCATCACTTTTGGAGGGAACACCCACCCACATTGATAAACAGGGTTTATTCATCCGGGGTCAATAATCTAAGGTCTCGCCACGGGTTCCAATTCGATTTCTTGGTCTGAGCTGCCCGGGCCAAGAGAGCCAGCCAGACGCCGGACTGCGGGAAGTGAGTTGCCGGACCCTGGGCAAAGGCAAGTGGACGGCTCCAGAGGTGAACGAAATGGAGGTTTTCCCCCTTTTTTGGGGGGACCCCTCAAAAATGGTTGGCTTCCTCTTGGCGTCCATTTGAACCCCAAAAAAGGGACCCTCAAACAGAGTCAGACACAAATCCATTTCGCAAGAGTTGGGATGGATGAAGGGCTTTGTATAGGAGGAGAAGCCACCGGCCAACCTGCGAAGCGAACTTTTCCCATCCACATGGAGAGGATCCCTTTGGCGAACACACGTGAGCCACGGTCAAAAGTACTGTTTCTCCAAGAGGACATGGACAAAAAATAAGCGCGAGTCCCCGTGTCGCTCCCGAATGGACCATAGACTCATTGATGGGGTTGTCTCAAAACAATGTGGACCCCAAAAAGGCTGTGCTTGTGTATGTGTGATTGTTTTGTTTCTTTTTTGTTGGGGGGGGGTTGCCCAAAGAACGGCTTTTAAAGGGCCGGTTCCAACAAAAAGCAAGAAGCATGCATCAGCGTCAGATTCAGCGTCATCTTCTTCAACCGCGTCAGCAACTGTTCAACTTGCTATCGCCGAGCTGCCGCCGCGACGATGTAGAGGTCGTCCACCAGCTTCTCCCTGGGACCGCGACCCTGGCTGCGCTTGAAGCAATCAGCCACTTGAACCGTCAGGAATGCGGTTGCCCTCTTGTGGGACTGTTCATGTTGGCCCGCCTTCGAAGGGGTTCCCAGAAAGACCCCAGATCATGGAAAACTGCCCTAATGCTTGTTGACCTGCCAAAACATGCGCGTCCCAACTTGTTTTGCCTGGGATGGCCTGGCCTCCCCATGGCCCTTTCACCAAGCCCAACTTGCTGCACCAACGAGCTCATGACATGGTGTCAGCCAGCTAATCACTTGCCAACCAGCGCGGTCATCCAGTCCCTTCGGGCCTGTGCGCGTGTGGTGAAGCAAATGCCACCAAAGGGCCACAGCAGAACCTGGATGATCGGCGAGAAATCGTCGGCAGAACTTTTTGGCAAGCAGCAAAGGACCATACTGGGAACCAAGAAGGGCATGTGGCCACATGGACCACTGAGACCAACTCTGCTTGCAGGGATTGGTTCTGCTTGCAGAGTCTACATCTGTCCCTTATAATACTTGGCTCTACTCGGCTATCCGTTTCACATGCCAATGCGTGGACGCCCGGCCAGTTCCCCTGTCTCATGGAATATGTTTCAAATCTCCAAGTTTGCTTCTCATGCCAAGCCATCCGAACTCCGCCCGAACCCCGGAAAACCCCCAGTTGCCTTCATGGGCTCAACACCTCGGACCTCGGAACCCGGAACAAACTCGGTGCGGCGCCTCCGCGATGGTTCCACCGCAGCGCCGGGCCATGGTGCCGTGGCCTCGAGCCATGAAGGCTGCCCCGTCCATTTGGCGCAAGGGTCGCAGGAACCCAAGGCTCCATACCTCAACCAATTGGTGGAACCCATAGCTCATGGGAATAGAAATCCGGAACCAAATGGAACCAAGGCCCGGCAAAAGTGGGGGCCATTTGAAGCCGGCGATGCACTTGAGGCGCAAAGCAAGCAACGGAAGCGCTTGGGTGTGTGTGTGTGTGTGTTTTTCTTAGGGGAATCCCCAACACCGTGGGTTCCTTTTGATGTCCCTTTAGAACCACAGAGAAACAGAGGCGGGGGGGGAACCAACTCCAAAAAGACAAACCCATTTGGTGTCTAGTCGGGAACCTGGTCCGAGTCATAGCCACCCGAGATGAGAAGTTGATGCACCCAGCGAGCAAATCATTTCGACTGCCTGGCAGGGCGCTATTCGTCAAATGACTTTGGCCCTCGAAGGGAAGCAAGGGCCGCCTATCTTCTTGGGATCCATTGGGCTGCATCAAAACGGCACCCTTTGGCAGCCCCGGCTAGATGAGCCACCAACTCTTTGGAGCCAATTCCGAGCAACTACTCTCAGCAGATCCGTGACCCAAAAGTGTCATTGGACCCCCGGGCCCATCTCGTGGCACAGCACCGTGCCCAGCAAAAGCAGCTCGTTGCCCGTGACGAAGGCGAGACGCACCTCGGCTGGAGTTGTGGTGGTGGCAAAACCTCCAGTCCGCCGCCCAAAAAGCTGCCTGGATCCACAGTTGCCCTTATTTTCCGGCAACTTTCGCCGAATTATGGGCTACTAGTGGGTAAAGTGGCTGGAAAAAGTAGCTACTTGGGGATCCAGGTGGTGGTGGTTTCTTAACGTCAAGACTTGTTTTGCTAAGCCTAGAGGGTGGTTGCTGTTGGCTTTTTTGCGAGTTGTGTAGTTGTGTTGGGGAGTAGCTGCCGATGGCTCTCAAAAATCATGGAAGTGGATGGGGGTTCTCCAAGAGGAAAATCGTCTTTCGTCTTCCAAACAAACCTGTCAGCTTCTTTGATGGTGGGAGGGAGGGTACAAATGTCGTATCCTTGGGTCTGGCGTTTGTCGACGTCCCTCAAAGTTGTCGCAGTCCAGCGAAAGTGGAGGCGCGTGCTTGTAAATAGCTTCGGCTGTGGCGCCATCTACTTCCAGCTTGTGGTGCAACTGTTTTAAGTGCAAACAACTTCGTGAGAGAACCAACATCTTAGTGCAGAATGGCTCTTGAACATACTGTGTCTGCTCTTCTCCTGGACAGTAGATATGAAACCTCAGGGTGATTGATCAATTGGAGAATTCAGCAAGTTGAGCTGAGGAATCTCCCAATCATTATGCATTTGCTTGCGTTTGCTAACCTCGCTGGACATCAGTTTTCTTCAGGGAAGTATGGGGAGAAGGTCCGCATTTGCTGTGTTCGCGAAGCCGACAACATGCGAGGGATGCTGATCAGCTGCCAGCAACAAGCAAGTCGGAAGTCCAACCCTGCTGCATTCAAAGGCCCTCACCCTCCGCGGCTCAGTCAACTGGATCCTTTTAGCAACATGACTGCATGTGGGTCTGCCGTTTCTTTATGGTTCCCCCTTGTTCTGTGGCTTTTAAAGGGAAACCAAAAAGAATCCGACGCCGTTCTGAGGGGTCGCAGCCCACCATATAGGGCCGTTCGGTTGAGCGCCGGGCCCATAAGGGCCACTGATGCTGATTCACCGCGTCCACGAGCTGCGACAAGAAGAGGATCACCAAAAACCTTGGCCAAGGCCGCCTGCTGGGATTGCATCCACATGAGCCATGATGGATTTTTGAAGTTTGCCCCAAAGAAAGTGGACAAAGTTGTGAAACCTGAGTCCGGAAGTTGGAATTGAACCCACGGCGAGCGACATGTCTTGCTTGGGGGGTCCCTTTGAACCCTGCAAAAGAGAAAGGCTCGCAGACACGCCATCAGGGAGAACTGGCCGCGTTGAAACAGTCTGCTGTTCAGGCAAAAAAACGAGGGGTCATGCTTAGCGACGAGCAACTGGCCAAGTCGTTCAACCTGCCCTAGTTGGACCTTGCGCTTCGTGGGCGGCCTAAGCATTGGGACATTGGCGCACACCAATAGTCAACACACGGAATAACTGCTCCAATGCATTAAGATGACACATGACTCGGGTGCAGCAATACTGTACTGATCTTGCAACTCAGCAGGCTGTGAAAAATGAAGGGTGTCTTTATCCCACGCGCAACAACATAGTATACGCGACAGGCAAATCAAACGGCCCTTGCAGCACCCTCAAACATGGGCGAGGGTTGTAGCCCGTCGTGGTTCTCAAGCAGAGGATCGCTTGGAAGGTGTGATAGGCATTGGCATTCACCTGTTCATCACCACATGCACAGGAACCCTCAATGTCGCAATTCACCGCAGAGGCATTTGTTGGATTACAATACCTAATACGACGGCAGTTGGGCCTGGCGTGAACATCTATTTGTTTCGTATTGGTCTAGTATTCTTTACCAGACTCTAGTTGAGTATTGGGGGGTTGGCAGGTTGGACAAATTATACTTACAAACAAGGTGCATTTGCGTCTATTTCGGGGGTCTTGTCTTGGCAGAACCCCTTTTGGTTTCAAGGGAAAACACATTTCGGCAACCGCCCTTTCGGATTTCGGGGTTGTGTTGAGGCGCGGGCCAACTGACTCTCAGAGGCGCGCCCGCCACGGAGCCCGCGGGGAAGGAGCAGTCCTGGCGAGTTGAAGGAGGTCCATAGGACGTCTTACCCAAGTCTTTAAAGGGAAACAAAAGGGAAACCAGGGCAGCGGATCCCATTTTTAGGGATCCAAAAGGGCAACCAGTGGATCCAAGTTTAGGAGAAATGGGAAACCGGTTGATCCCATTCTAGGAGAAAAGGGAAAACGATGGGTCCCACAAGCAATTTAAACAAACCCCAAACAAATGCTCGCTTGCAGGAGGCCGGTAAGGTCGACCCAGGATGGGCAACGGTCGATGTTGCGGGTATCCCATCAAGATCCTTCGCTTTTGAGGAAAGAAACCCAATGATTCAGGTCGATCCAGGGTCGAGAGTCTTACCAAGGTGAGGACCATAGAGGCTCAGAGGGTACCTGGGAGGGGACCTTCACCAGGATTCTGGGAAAGCCACGACCTTCGAGCCGTAAAGGTCGAGAACTCCATTGAACCCCCATCTTCATGTGAATGACCAGGGGTCTTTGGGGCCATGAACCGGTAAGCAAGTGCCAGGTACTCCCCCCCCGTCCCCCGGCAGAAAGACCCTGTTCAGTCTCCCAAGTAGCCAAGGACGGAGAAAGCAGAGCTTCTGACTGGTTTGCTGACTTCCGCCCAGCCGCCTCAAACCCGTTTGCTTCTTTCTTCATCCGTGGGCTTGTCGTTTCAAGCTGCTGGGAAGCCTTCATTCACGGCCTTGCTAAATCGATCTAGATTGTGTTGGTAAGAGGCAGGCAGACCCGTCAGACCGTCTTTGGTTCAGTTCATGGGGACCTTTGCCGCTTTGCCGCATATGAACCCCCCTTGCAAGTTGGACACACATTCCCATATGCTTGGCATCCCATGCCTTTTCAAGCCCAAAAGAGGGTGGCTCATCCCAGACAATAATCCCCCGCCACTTCCAGGGCCATGTTCCTTTTGGTGAGCTCACCCTGCTTCCCAACATCCCCAATCCACCTGCTGGTGCTTACGGGCCTCCCATTCACCAATTTGCTCTTGCATGTGCCCCACGCGAACAAGAACATCCAAGACGGATATCAACTCTCCTTGGACTGCGCCGCACCCGTCGCCCCGAGGCCCTGCATGGCTGCAACTACTTTTGCGCAAGGCGACCTCACGTGAGGTGTCAAGCCGAGCGAGGGGTCTTTGTAGTACAGAAGAGAAACAGGCATCTTTGCTGAACGATGTCTGGAGATTGTTGGGATGGTGAGTTGCTTTCGTGTTGTGCCATCGGCTCATGCCGGTTGATCTTAAACGCTGCGAGTTTAGTTGGCTGCGCATTCCTCACCGGCAATGACTTGAAGCCTCCATTCCGTTGTATGTCACAGAAACGGGAGTCTGTCCTCCTGCACTCCGTTCAAATCCTGCCAACAGGAGGGTGCTAAGAATCCTAACCTGCAAACAACGGGCATTGAGGTGAAACACATGAAAGAATCTGTCTGACAGGGCCTCAAAGCTTGTTGGCCAAAGCGGATTCTCAATCCTTCCACTTGAGCTCTGGCTTTTCTTCACTGCATGAAACTCCCTGATAACCACAATCGCACGCACACGCCCTGTCTTGTCACGAGCCGGACTTTGCCAGCCGTCGACTCCCCACAGGACCCATCAACTCAGATCTGATGCATTCGACTCAACTGGGCTCAGCTGACTCCGCAAGACAGAAATGCACGTCTTGAATCAAATGTTTGAGATTGATCGCATGCAATTCACTTTGCAAATTTCCAAAGAAGCTCGACTCGCCAACTGAAGCGCCACGAATTATCAGCCTCGTGCAAACTTCAGCCGCGACTTGGGCGGCGAATGGAAGGAAGCCCCCGGGAAGCACCTAGTCGGCCTGGCGGCGGGCCAAACGGGCAAGATGCTGCTCAACCCTCTTTTCTGGGCGTTCCTCAGATCCCCGGCGAAAGGTTTAACTTTTAGTGGGTGAAATGGAAACCCCCTGGGGGTTCATCAAGTTTTCAGCTGGTTGAAACCTTCCCTTTGCACCCGGACCGCTGATATACAAAGTGTACAGTGACATCTCAATCTGACCGAAGTCGCTTCACAAACCAACTCCTTGACTGCCTGCTTGCCTGGTTCGGGAAGCAAAACAATAGTTACATGAAATCATATTGGATTTCTGCCCAACTCAGAAATTATATGGGTGCGTCTTTCTCTGAAAAAAAACACATTCAAACAATCTACAAGGGTGCTTCTCCAAAGAAGCTGCCATATCCTGTCTTTGGTCTTTTTCGTGCTGGCCCTCGGCAGGGAATCAAAGAACGCCCCCGAAAAATATAATGAAAACCATCCCCTCTGGTTTTCCATTAAGGGAATCTCCGGGTTCATTCCCTCATTCCCTACTGAGCATCAGCAAAAAAAAATGCGCCTTCTGTGAGGCACAGCCGAAGACTCACTGGGGCACCCCGCAGGCCCCTCAAGCCCCTCGGGCCCCTCGGGCGCCTCGGGGCCCTCGGGCACGGTGGCCTGGAGCGGCACCTGCGGCACAGCCTGCTGGGCCGCCTTGTCCTGGGACGCGTCCTCGGCTACATCTTGGGCACAGGCCAAGCAGTTGGTTTCAACGCAGGGCTGTTGGGGCGGGGGGGGGGTCCGGTGTTTGGGGTCCGGTGTTTGGGGTCCGGTGTTTGGGGTCCGGTGTTTGGGGGGGGGGTTTGGGGGGGGGGTTGATCTTGCTCCAGTTGCTCCAGTGTAGCCCAATTGGTCTAGTTGGTCCAGTGCAACCGAAACCGGTCCCTTTGCTTTGGTCATCCCTGGTTCCTGCAATTCAGGGTCTCGACTCGACCTCAGCCAGGCCCCGGACCACCTCGAGCGGCTGGCTCTGTGCTTCAGATTGCCTTGCCAGTGTCAGTCGATTTTCGGCCGATCGGCCTGAGTTGATTCCTCAAAAGTCGAGCAACTGAAAACATAAGGACAAGCACAACAGAGCGTTTTACAGAGCGATCCCCTGAACAGTACTGAGGCAAGTAGCAAAAACTGCCGTGCATGGCTACAAACTCCACGCCAGGCACCAGTTGGGGTGGATGAAACCCGATTTTTGACTGGAGCGAAGTGGACTCTGTCCATTCACGGTAGGGCCAAGGGCAAGCAAAATATTCACCGTGATTATTTGCCGTGCTTTTGAGCTCAATTGCATTTCACCAGTGTAGCAAACAGCTTGTCACATCCAACCGGCAAGTACAGCTGTGGCTCTTGAATGCTTGTGTCTGTGCGCTATGCAGAGGTTCACTACGGCAGATTCCAACAGTCCAAAGGGGCTTTTTCTTGGAGGCACTACTTGTGTGAACTCCTAATCTGCTTCAAGTTTCAAGCTGTTGAGCATCTTTCTTTGCTTGCGGAAAGGACCATGGCTTCACCGTGCATTCTCGTCATTGCTCGCAAACTGCAGTAGAGGCTTCGTCGAGATTGCGGAAAAAAAACGCTCACACACATACACATCCTGGAAAAGTGGCCCCTTTTTATCCTTCCGCCCTTTGCCAGCTTGCCTCACCATTCGACTCATACCTCGAGCATGACCATCCAACACAACGGTGGCTGACGCCACAGCAGCTTATTTCACAATCCACCTGAGACAAGCGAGCTGTGCCAACTGAACCGGACATGACCTGGATATAACTTATCATCGACCCCAAAGATGGTGCAATCGGTAAAAAGCACCTGTGGATTTACTTGATTGACAAAACAGGCTAATCTAGAAACCTGAGTAAGGATCTCGAACTGGCCGGAGCCGGTTAAAAACGGAGCTAGTGCAAAGCGAAAGAACAAACACCTTGCTGCACACACGGCCTGAATTCCACAGCATCATTTCGGGAAATCTGGAGTACTCCATCACCCCATTCATATATCTGGTGTCTCCAAATTGGGAGGGTTCCCCTAAAATGGTTGGCTTTTTGCTTCCCTCTAAGTACCAACCAGAAACGGCGGGCCCACGATAATTGCGAAACCATCATATGGCTGCGGGTCAACAATGGGTACCCAGAATTCACCCTGGTAAATGGAAACATGAACTAAAATCTGCAGTCTCCTGGTTGCTTAATTGTGACGCACAGCCATATGCCATTCTCTCATTTGAAAACTAGGGGCCCTCGGCACCCGCTTTCGCCGCTTTCGCCTGCGGAGTTCTCCGCGCCTCGCTGCAGCAAGATACAGCACCAGCAACGACAAGGCCTGCAAAGAAAGCGCCCGTGGCTGGCAACCCGCGAGCTCGGGGAATATGTCGCCCGCGTGGATGCTTGGGATCAATCCGGTCGGCTGTCATGATCACTGTGGATGGACGAAATCCGTTTTGCACTTGGAAACCATGGGAAACCATTGTTTAATGGAATTTACAGAAGAACCATCATTCCAGGGTTCCTTAGGTGGTGCAGGATTTACAGTATGGTTTTGCACTTGGAATGGTTGGCTTGCAATGCTTCGGGCATCCACCGTACCATTCCTCAGGTATGCAGGCCGCATAATGTGCACTCTGCCCCCTACTTCCAGTAACGCAACTCTGTCTCACTCGCCATAAGAGTCCCAAGGGAACCATACCAGAACAACCTTGTCAAAGATCCGTTTGATACTGTTTTTTTTCGGGGTACCCCTGTTTTGTGATTTCAAAGGACTGCCAAAAGGAAAACTCACCATTTGCGGGGGGGTCCAACTCCTAAACAAGACACACTCGACACCCCGAATCCTCTCCAATCGGCTCACTCGATGCCCCCGCCGGCACGAGCGGCACCAGGAAGGCCAAGACCATGTACTCGCTGCTCATCCTGCGCCTGAAGCTAAGGCCATTCCGTAAGTCAACCAGCTCACCTTAACTAGGTCCTCCAGTAGAGAGGGTAGAATAAGGGTGCCCGATCTTTTTGGTAGTCTATTTTTAGTAGGGGAGCCCTCCCCCAAAAAAGGGTAAAAGAGCACTATTGGAGGACCTAGTTAAGCTTCTCGCATGGGTCCTGTTTCTGTTCTCTCATTGGCCCAAACAAGTATTTCGCGCGGGGTGAAGCACGCGGTGCCTCTTGGTGCAAGGGACTCATCCCTCGCGGCCAGGCTCACACACACACACACACACATGTACAGACGCCAGGAGTAGCAAGCGGGTGTCGAAAACGAGCCGCTCTGCTTGAGATGAAACACGCTTGAAAAGCCTTCTACTTCAACTTCTGCAAGCCACACATGAGGGGTGGGTTGGACCCTGTGGCCCTGGGTTCTCTGGCACCGCCCTGAAACAAAGACAACTCAAAGTTCGGAAGTTCCAAAGTTTCAAAAAGGCCCCACTATCTGTCGTGGTCGCTTTGCAGCACACACCCCGCCCCGGGCGGCTTCAGAGGCAGCGACTTGTGCTCTTTGTCATCGCTATGGAAAGCCTGCAGGATTGTGTCAATGCCAAAGTCCGCAATGCGGAAATGGGGGCAAGAGTGAGTGCAACAGAGGAAGGTGGCAAATCGTTCTTCTTCTCGAGCTTTGCTTGGACTGTCGTCACAACTTAAGTAGTGGGGAACAAGAAAAATGGTTGCATTTTCTTTGGCAACACCAAACAAAATCTAAATCATGGACCTTTTTTTGCTGCCATGGCTAGGGCAATCCTGGCCGATCCTGGCCGGTTTGAGGCAACTGGAAACAAAACTAGCCCAGTGCCATTTCGCTGCAAGTCATCTAAGGTTCCCCGAGCCCTGACCTGGACTTGGAGTTGCGCCAACGACAGCAACTGCATCCCCAAAATAGGGAACCCCCAAAATGGGTGGTTGTCCCTTTGGTGTCCCTTTAAAACCAACCCAAAAGGGTCTCTCTGAAGAAAGGAACGGACACACCCATATGTGTGTCTATGTCTCGTGCATGTGCGTCATGCTGACAGCAACCTCACTGCACACAGCTGTATAAGAGACATGTCGGTCAACTGATCAATGAAAGGAATCTCAGGCATTGGTATCCAAGGCTGATGCTTAAAAGGTCGAAGACCGACATCTAGTTGGATGTCGGTACAGCCTTTGATTTGTGGTCACCTGAAGAATCCCGAGAGGGACCCCCTCATCCACGCAACCAGCCAGTCCGCGCCTGAATTCGTGGGATGTTCGAGCCTGGCATGGTATGCTGGTTTTGTGCACTTCCAAAGTGCTCCCTCCCGCTCGTTCAAAGGAAAGAATGGCATTTGGATGCGTGTCTGTGCGTGTATATGTTCGGTTATCTGTTCTGC